TTCATTGTTGTTCTTTTGCTAGACAAAGGCATTTAGAATTTCCAAATGTCTGTGCACCAAAACAATGCAGATAAGTTTCTTTGATTTGTTGGCCTTCTTATAATCCTATTGAAAAAGTGAAGTTAGGTCACTATGGAGTGGTACTACTAGCGTTTACCTAATGCCTTTTTTATTATCAAGAATGTTAAACAGTAGGTAAAATTATCCCCATTTTACAAAAGGGGCAACTGAGGTGCGGAAGGGTTAAGTGACTTGCCCTGATCATATAACAAGTCAGTGGCAGAGCCTGGAGACAGGCACCCAGCTTTTTGCCCAGTCCTTATTTTACCCAGTGGACCACAGTGGCTTTCTAGAAAGTGACATTTGTGCTACCAAAACGTGTTCTATTCCTAAACCAAGGAGGAAGATCCTAAGAAGAATGCATGGAACTACTGAAGCCTCTATTCACTGGTGTGAATTGTTTGCCTTGCAAATTATATGTGGATTATTTTGGGGTTTGAGACTTAGCTTACTGTGAGGGAACAGTACGTTATATATGAGACTTAAGAACTTCTCATAGTTTGTGTTCACCTGGAATTGCTCTTCAGAGGAAGAGATGAACCATGCTTTCACAAAGTTCTTAAACATTTGTCTCATAGTGTTCTTGAAGAAAAAACAAATACTTTTGACTACTTGAGAATACGTGGCTTTACTAAATTTATAATAAGTGGCTATGTAAGAATTCCTACTACAAATAGGTTTGGTGCTTTGTTTCCTAAAACATTTTATATGTAACTATTAGTGGAGTAAGTTTATTACAGAAACAATCAGTAATTCAAATGTTACTCTCCTTATACATGTATAACTGAAACCAGAATCTAGTTGTGAAGTACTGTGGGGTTATAGTTTAAAATAAAAAGAGGAACTCTTCTGCAATAACAAGAAAATGGAGTGAGTCTTCTTGTCCTCCATTTTGGCTCAATGAGACATGTAGTAAAGAGTAAAAAGCATAATATATAATCATAGGTCAGATGCATTGTAGTGACAGATAATTCCTCTTTAAATGTAATTTACTGATGCACATGAACAGTTTGTAATGGAGTTATCGGAACAGAGTTACAAGCTTGTGAAGTGTTCTTCACAGTTTCACTTTCATAATGGCTACACAAAGAGCTTTTTGTATTGAACTGGATTTACGTGAACGGTGTCTTTGTGTTTTGCCTCTAACTCTTTGTGAAAAATAGATCAGTGCTATGTCATTTTAAAGTGCATCAACAGATCTTTCTGTCCTTATATAAGATTATAGCCTTTCTGCTTTTTATTTATGTATTTATTTATTTCACCCCTAAACAGAGGTTGGGAATAAAGTATTCTTTTATCCTATTTTGGGAGCCAACAGCATCTCTTTATCTTCATAACCTAATACTTAGAGGTCACTTACAACTGTTGGTTCCCTGTAGGATGGGATTTCTTCTCTGATTTGTTTCTTGATGTCTGTTCTGTGGGCTGTAATGTGGCCAGACCATTTTTAGGTCAAGTCTGACTTAAGTTCTCTTTTTTGACAGAAACTTAACTGTGAAACTTTATAAGTACATGTGCTGTCAGAACACTGTATTAGGGAGCTGCATTTCTGGTGACAGCAAGATTATGAGCTGGCTGATTTCACCACTTTAATAGTTAATTTTGTTGGTGGCAGTGCTGTCACAGTTTTAGAGATGTTATCTTGTACAGGATGAGGTAAGCCTACCATTTGTATGTGCTGCTGGAGGCAACTCTCCTAAATTAGAACAGCAGCCTCTAAAGCTCATTTGAGTAAAGATGTAGAAAACTCTTCAGAGTAGCATCTTTTCTCAGCTTTTGAAAATCCAAATTCAGTGAAGTTGAAACAATTCAGTGATTTTTAGATTATGCACTAACTTGAATTTCACTTTAGCAGGTAGCAGACAAATGTGGTTTCTGAATGCATCTGAAACAAATACATAGTCAATGTGTTTCAGTAGTGTGTGTTAATTACTGCAGCAATGTATCCAACATTAATTGGTTATATAAAGCTCATGGAAAATTGTTATTGTCCCATCTGCAAGATCCATCATTTCAGTAAGAAACAAGATTTATCGTCTTAAGAAGTGACAGTGCCTATAGCTTGAACCCAGGGCAGATCTTAGGTGAAGGAAACAAAGATACTTCTGAGACACAACAAAAACTTACTTAGTGTCATTTTGGTGAACTGCAGCTCCTTCTAGGAGGTTGAGGCCCACATACTTGTCTTCTAGTGCTCATTTTCAGTATATTTGTCTCAGATCTGTCTTTTAATTTCATCTGATCCTTCTGTTGTAGCCTGTGGGGATCAGAATGTGAGCTACTGCCATAAATCAATGTTACTCATTCACTTCATTTACTCAGTAACAGAACTCTCTGATAGATCGCTGTCTGTCTTGTTCTAGGTACCCTGGAAGTGAGGCTGATGGGCTGCCAGGATATCTTGGAAAATGTCCCTGGCCGATCCAAAGCCACCTCAATTACGCTACCGGGTTGGAGTCCAAATGAAGCCAGAACATCTTTCATTGGCAGAACCAGTAAAATTAAAAGTGGGAGTAGCAGAAACCTTCTGAAAAATGATGACTTGTCCAGTTCAGTATATTCTGCCTTCTCTTATTTTCATGCATTTACATTTCGATGTGCATGCCCTGTTCTGTAATGTAAAATGCTACATTGATCTGAACGTTTAAACTTGGCTGTTTCTTCATCTGTTTAAGAAGAAAAGGAACAAAAGCACAACGACACTATTATGTCCACAAGAACCAGTTAAATATGAGATTACATTTTTTAAAGGGAACTTTACTGAAGATTTTTTGTTTGTGGAAAATCTTCTTAAAGATTTAAGCTGAGTCTGTGTGCTTTACTTACTTACAGATGAAGTCTGTGCTGTACTGAAGCTGGATAACACTGTGGTTGGTCAAACTAGCTGGAAGCCTATTTCCAATCAGTCCTGGGATCAGAAATTTACACTGGAACTAGACAGGGTAAAAATGTGTTCTTAATTCACTACAGCCATGGTCAGTTCTTAGATTAATTTCAATATGTTGCCTGTTTTCTTTTCCTGTTGCTGTGTTATGTTCAAATTTGAGATGTGTGAGTATTCCCATCTTTAACAGAATGAGCTCCCAGAGGTTAAGCTGTTATGCTGGGCTGGCACTCCAGAAATGTTGTTTTCTGCCTCTAAACTGCCATACTATGTTTTTAGCCTGTGATGGATAAGCTTAAATTCTTATGAGGATCATCAGTTTCTCATTATTTACCAGTAAATTCCAATATCAGGTAGTTTGGATGTTTTGGTAAAGCCATGTCACAGAATTTTTATGGTACTTCTCCAAAAGTGGCACTCCTTTGAAGTAACAGCTCTGCATCTCAGTCCTTGAGCTGCTAGATCTTACAGTAGCACAGAGGTACCTCTTGCAGAACAATCGCCAGTAAGTAATTTCCTGTGTGTATGTTTCCTGTCGTAGTCACGTGAATTGGAAATCTCTGTTTATTGGCGTGACTGGAGATCTTTGTGTGCAGTCAAGTTCCTGAGGTTGGAAGATTTCCTGGATAACCAGCGGCATGGCATGTGTCTCTATCTTGAACCCCAGGGTACTCTGTTTGCAGAGGTAAGGATGTTTCTTCTGAGCATGTGAGCACACTTATTATATAACAATATATTATATAATATATCGTACAGTGTAAGTAATACGTTGCAGAAGATTTTAAGAAGTTGCTCTTAAACTTTAAAGAATGGATTTTGTCCTGAAACTTGAACTCTAACATCCATTATTTGAACTGCAGGTTACGTTTTTTAATCCTGTTATTGAAAGAAGACCAAAACTCCAGAGGCAGAAGAAAATCTTTTCAAAACAGCAAGGTGATTGTTTAATATAAACATGTAAAGCTTAAAAATGATATGGATTTGTGATCTCTTTTATGCAGACATCTAATATTTACCTGCGAAGAAAGCTGTTGATAATCAAGGATATGGCATTGCATTTAGAAATGTTTTGGTTTAGAATTCCTAATTATGCATTAACAGTTAACAATGAATAATTAGGAACTTATAAGGAATAGGATAAATTCAGTTTATTCTTCATAAACTGATTAATATGAATTAATGTTTTTAATTAGAGCTTTTGGTAATAAGTAAGGAAATGACTTGCACTCTGTTTTCTTTTTCCCAATATCCATAGGCAAAACATTTCTCAGAGCTCCTCAAATGAATATTAACATTGCCACTTGGGGAAGGCTGGTGAGAAGAGCTATTCCTACAGTAAATCACTCTGGCACCTTCAGCCCTCAAGCACCAGTGCCTGCTACTGGGCCAGTGGTTGATGCAAACATTCCTGAGCTCACACTGCCAGCCAGGTAGGGAATATCTACTGTTTTTAAGTACTTTTTAAGAATGACAGTGAGATGCTTATGTGCTAATGGATGTCAAATCTATTTACTCTGCAAGTCTACAGACCTTTCAGTGTGTTAATTTTGCTCATCCATCTTATAGACAGATCTACATGCACAGATTTGTTTTAGGAGGAATCTACATAACATGCAGGTTTAAATTGGTTTTCATACCAGTAAAATGATCCCTGCTGTACACTGAGGAGTTATTTATTCCCTTGCCAGTGACTCTGCTGTGGCCAAGTTGGACTTTGAACTTGAGCCTGAGCCTCCACCTGCTCCACCACGTGCATCTTCCCTTGGGGAAATATGTGAGTCTTCCTCTGAGATAAAGGCTCCTGATGTGCCATCTCAGGCAAGTAACTAAGTGTTTTGGCCTCTACAGTTTAACAAGGTTGCAGTATTGGCATCTTTATGATGGATTTCTCCCCTTATGTTTCAGCATATGCTCCCTTAACTTACACGTACAGAATTGTCTCTACAAAAAGCTCCAATTACTCTTGGTGGCAAGCTGTTTCTGTGGTTGGTGTGCTTAACTCTCCATGGCATTGGTTCCTACACAGAAATAACAAAAGCCCCAAATCATTAGAGTGTTCAGAGAATAAATGGCTTTATTAACAAAAAGCTGAATGACTGTAGCAATAGGTTTCATCACTCAAACCTTGTTTCTCTGTATCATCTTGAACTCTACTGTTTTAGCTTAGATAAATCTTGTGTTAAGACTTTCACAGGCCTTCAGTAAAATTTCTGCATTCATTTGCCTTCACAATCAGTTTTAAATCTTCAGCCTTGTTTTTCTTCACAGGATGAAGTAACAACTTTTGATTTTGAAAATGGCAGAAATAGTATTGTCCCAAAACTCCAGCCTGAAATAATCTGTGGGTCTGATGTTCCCCATTCAGATATAAAATACACCAACACCCGAGAGCCTGAAGACAGAAGGTAATAATGAAGTGGTTTTGTTGCTGATTTAGATACTCTTCCGTAAAAGTTAACAAACTAGAAGATTTTTGACTCTTGTTTCATTTACATAGATCACAACAACGATTTCAATTCAGTCTGAAGGATTTCAGATGTTGTGCTGTATTGGGGAGAGGACATTTTGGAAAGGTAAATTTCAAAAGGTGATTAAAAAATGTCAAGGCTTTATCAAAAACTGGGTTTAGCTCATAAATGTATCCCTTATCTTCTGTTTTAGGTGCTGCTGGCAGAGTACAAAAACACAAATGAGATGTTTGCTATTAAAGCCTTAAAGAAAGGAGATATTGTCGCTCGCGATGAAGTGGACAGGTCAGTTTGTAACATAGATTCCATAAATCAACTGTTTTTTTTCTGCATGCAGCACAACTGTGAGCCCTACCAAACAGTAGTTAAATTCAGTGAAAGAGCAGAACAAGCTGTCATCTCCCTGCTTGGCTGCTGCAGACACGCAATCCTCCTGAGGCAAGGAGGGAGCAGTGGAGCCCAGCGATACTGATTAGTCTTAGTGCCTCTCTTACCATGCCTGCGACTTGAAGCTGATCCTGTTTCTCATTGAGGGTCTGTTGCAATTTTTATTCTAATTAGTTATTCTATAGAATTATGTCACATTTCAGGAGGACCATGACTGTTTTCTTTAGTGGCAGAAACCCCTATAATGTTTTTTCTCAACCTGTAACATACTGTCATACTTTGGCCATCATGTTTTCCAGTTTATGCTGTACTTTCTGCCCAAAACTCAGATTTTGCTTTGCTTGGAAGTGAAGAGGCAGTTACAAAACTATCTAGTTTTAGTGCAAGAAAGTGCTTTTACAACTGTTTAATAGCAATGACTATACTCACTTGACTTGCAGGAAGAAAGGTAACTGCACCAAGAATAAGGTACAAATCATCCAGTTGGCTTAAGGAGAAATAATCTGGAATTAGATGTCTCTAGTATCGATACTGTTTCCCACTTAATGTATTTGGAAGGAGAATTGGCAGGATACAATTCTCATGGACTGCTAGATTTCCTTGTTTGCCGATGAAAGCCAAATATGACTGGAAATCTTGGCATCAACTTAATGTGTGAGCAAGTATTAAAATCTCTATTGAAACAAAAAATGTTCTTGCCTTATCCAGAAGAGTATTAGAGGAAAAAATGTAAGGCATCAATTGCCAGTAGTTTCTGAGAGTTGAAAAGCTGTTATTTAAAGCTTTAAATTTCTACTGTCTTTCTGTTTGCAGCTTGATGTGTGAAAAGCGAATATTTGAAACTGTGAATAGTGTAAGGCATCCCTTCTTGGTGAACCTATTTGCTTGTTTCCAAACCAAAGATCATGTTTGCTTTGTAATGGAATATGCTGCTGGTGGGGATCTGATGATGCACATTCATACTGATGTCTTCTCTGAACCCAGAGCAGTGTGAGTATCCATCCCTTTTTGTGGCATTAAGTGAAGGGCGTTTTGTTCAGCAGATAAGAACTTTATCCCCACATGCCTCTACATCAGGTCATTTCAGTAAATGCTGTTCTAAGAAGGGTCAGAGATTCTAACTCTTCGTCTTAGAAGAAGACACATTCAGGTTTAATGTACCTGAATCTACACTGAAGTAAAAAATGACAAATATTTAATTTCTATAATACTTTCTAAAAAAAAGAGATTACATAAAAAGCAAAATGACAAGTTAAAATGACAGACAAGGCTAAAAAGAACCAAAACAGAATATAGTAAGCCAAATTGGAAATCCTTCAATGCCCTGGCAGTAGATACTACAGAAAATTCATCCTCCAGGCCAAGCAAACATACTACAGCTTGAAAGCTGCAAGTTTAAGCATCCTTGCCATCTGGCTTTAAAAACTCTCACCTTGTAATCTGTACTTGAAAAACCAATGGGTAATCTTCAGAGGATGGTTAATAAAAAAGATTGATAATAATGGAGTTTGCACTCTGAAAAGGAAGACTGAAATTCCTTGCCATTTCCACTTCAACTTTTTCAACAGATTCTATGCTGCATGTGTGGTTCTTGGACTTCAGTATTTACACGAACACAAGATCGTGTACAGGTAAGTAGTCACTAACCCATTCCCAACAGAGGGAGTTCAGCTATCCTGAATAGGGCTGAAGGAACATCAGTGATGCAATTCTTTTTGCAAATGTTCATTTAGGGATTTGAAGTTGGATAACTTATTGCTGGACACAGAAGGCTTTGTGAAAATTGCTGACTTCGGTCTTTGCAAAGAAGGTACTGGCCATTATATTTTCTTTCTAGGGGAATTCTGCAGTCTGTCTTACTCTTGGCTGTTCGAGACTTTTGGACTGCCAAATGTGCAGCATGTGTCCTTACCCTCTATCATTTGAAGGAAAAAAATAGACTGTACAAATGTGGAGATAAGGGAAAGTTCCTTAGTAGGGAAATAGTGGGAGCCTCTGAGCATAGCACTGTTTTTTTTTTTACTGACTTTTTTCAGTTGTGTGCATCTCCTGTTCTGATTCCTACTTCTTCATAGCTCTGCTTATTCATAATGTGCACTGCTGCATTCTGCAAGTTAGCAGAAAAAGCAGTGTTTTTCCTCGTTCTAAACATGTCAATTAAGACTGTACAGTGAAGTACCAGTACAATCGATGCCTTGCTATTACTTTTTACAAATTCATTATCTATTTGTTTAACTCTGAAATAGTTGCAACTCTAAGAATGTGGCAATGACATGTGAAGTATACTAACAGCTAGAAAGGTGACATTTATCCCAAAAAGGAAGTCTAGATGATAGAATGGTACTTTCAAGCATTGTTACTGGCAACTACCTTTCTATTAAGACATAAAATAGAGGTAGAAACTGAAGTTAGTGTGTCTCAAACCTGATTGCAGAGGAAGATATGGAAAAGTCCATTTCCTTCTTCAGTTTGTACAGCCTCTCCTCCATGTTTAGTTTTTAGATAGCCTAAGAGGGAATTTAGTAAATGCAGTAGGTGTTGAAACATTTACTGTGACTTCAGCTGCAGACAAGTTCCGTAAGTGCTTGCTTTTCATTCATTAACTTTTCAGGAATGGGATTTGGAGACAGAACAAGCACGTTCTGTGGCACACCAGAATTTCTTGCTCCAGAGGTGCTGACAGAAACTTCCTATACAAGAGCTGTGGACTGGTGGGGTCTTGGTGTACTTATCTATGAGATGCTAGTGGGTGAGGTAAGTTCTAGTAAGATACAGTGGAGTCATTAATGTATGTTTAAAAAGGTAGTAAAACTCAAGATACTGGCCTGCCAACACTCAGTGTGTCCTACGTGTCACAGTTGCATCAGTACTTGCATACCCAGTATGTATAGGCATACCTGGTTTTACAATGAGCATCTTAATGTGTTTAAGAAGTATTAAACACTGAGCAGCCACTTACCTGATACTAGCTGCTGTAATGCTGCAGAAGTTGATGATCATGCCATGAGCTTGAATTATCAGTAGTTGTAGAAGTGAATGAGTTGTAGCTGGTCCAAGACAATGCTGTTTACCATCTGAATTACACCTGCACTAAAACAGAATGCCCCAGTTCCATGTAAATGAGCTAGTATAAATAAATTACTACTGAGTAATTATTTACCTTGTGTATGCTGCTTTACCTTCCAGACCATTCTGTTCAAGTATCTCCAGGTAGTACATAGATGGCCTCTGTGCTAAAAGATAAAAAGGTTCTAGGGTGTCACCTACATCTGTCAGGCCACTTCAGAACAGTTTGAAAACCCTGGAGCTGTCACATGCTGAAGATATGACAAAAGCAAATTAGTCTGGACTGTGTTACTTGTGGATAGCAGCTGTCCTGAAGAAAAGCTGATCCGTACTTCCCACATTCCCTGTGTATCTTGTGTCAATAGTTTAAAGATGATCCCTGGTTTAGGTGTTTCTACTTCTAAAAACGTATTTGTAAAGCTGAATCCTGCAGTAGGAGTTAAGGGACAACACTAACTTGCCTTTTCTCTCTTCCTCAAGAAAAACTACCATATTTGGTTTCTGGGAACAGGAAGACTTCATTTCAGGGCATAGTCCGCTGCCAGTTTGGAATTAGACACATCTTTTCAATTTTAAGTAATGCTTAAGCCTGTTAATAGTATTTCATTACTTGCCTTATAGTCTCCTTTCCCTGGAGATGATGAAGAAGAGGTGTTTGACAGTATTGTAAATGATGAAGTAAGATATCCACGGTTCCTGTCTACAGAGGCCATCTCTATAATGAGACGGGTAAGAACATCATAGTCATAATAATAATACATTCCCCTCTTATCCCAATTAAGGAAATGAATTGCTTTCATGAGGAACAAAACACTTGAAGAACCTATGCCTGGTGGTTTCTTTCTACAAGTAAATTTCAGGTGCCCCATTTAGGCTATGCCATGCTGTCCATCACCTTAAATGAAACCTGTCAGTGCCATTCCACTTCATTCAGGATCAAGTTTTTCACTTTAAAAAGTAAAACACTAGAAGCTCTATTTTCTTCCTGAACTGTTTCCTGGTCGTACCTAACTAGAGAAGTTCAGCTCTCTTTTCCTAACAGAACACTGCTGCATTGACCTATTTGGTAGATTAACATTGTCACATGAATATTTTAATTCAAAGACTTCTAAATCTCTTTGGATTCCTTCCAACTGGGGCAGGGAACACTGCATGTGGCAAAGAACAGCTGATGTTGATTATGATCATTACCAGTGCTGTTCCTTAGTGCAGTGCCTCTGCTTATCTGAAGATACTTGAACCTGTCTAAAGTAGAAGCTTACCACAGTTGGTAGTGTTTACTGGAGGTGATTCAATGTCTTTGGAAGCAGCCTCTCCACATAAATGTCTGACAGAGTGGCAGTCTACCACCCAATTCAGCAACTTGCTGCAGTGTGTAAATTAAAGCACTGGAGGCAGCAGAGCTGGCTCTCTTTTATGAGCCAAACAAGAAGAAGTACTAGTTCATTTAAATCTGTATCCTCTCCAGCACAATTCTGACTCTTTCTGCTTGACACCAGGCCCACCAATCACTTCAGGCACCAAGTCTCAGTCCCACAGACCTACAGTCTTGTGTCTGCTCTTTCTCTGGCTGCTCATAGCTGGACTGTTGGTGGAGTTGTGCTAGAAGAGCACTGCTGCCACTTGACCCGTGTAAAGCTAAAGCGTCATCTTCCACTTCCTTTGAGGATGAAGACTTTCCTTGGGGTCACTAATCTAATCTAATCTTGGTGCTGGCTCTTACACAGTAGCTCTCAGCCTCCCTCGTTCCTCCCCTTTCCCTGAATTTCTGCACTGAAATCGTGCATGTTTTCTCAGTTGCTACGAAGAAATCCAGAGCGGCGTCTTGGTGCTGGAGAGAAAGATGCTGAGGATGTGAAAAAGCATCACTTCTTCAGGGTGAGTACAGACTAGTAATATTTCTAAGGACACAAAGAAGTAGAGAGGAAACTAAACTGCGGTTGGTTTATCTTACAGCTAATAGATTGGAATGCTTTACTGGCCAAGAAAGTGAAGCCTCCTTTTGTACCCACCATTAGAGGACGAGAAGACGTTAGTAATTTTGATGATGAATTTACCTCTGAAGCACCTATCCTCACTCCACCTCGTGAACCCAGGATACTTTCAGAAGAAGAGCAGGAAATGTTCAGAGATTTTGATTACATTGCTGATTGGTGTTAACTTCCAGACACTGTGAAACCCCAGCTGACTGGCTCACAAGAATGCCTCTCTCAGAAGAATACCCACTCTTCTATTGCTCTCTGTGCCACCTGTAGCTTGGTTTGTCTTTTTAAATCACATGAAGATCCTTTCAAGTACTGTTTTGACACTCTTGTGAAGAGTGGCTTCTTTGTATATTGTTTTTTATCTGAGCACTGGAAAGCAGGTCTATGGAATTCTTGAGTTGGTGAACCCAGCTGTATTAAGCTTCCCACACATGGGCACACATGGGGTCTGCACTGTTTCTCTCACAGCAGATCACATCACTTCTTAAAGTGTCTGCCTTAACATGGGGAAAGCAGACTCTGAGCTAGGCGATCACTGATCTCTGCTCAGCCACACAGAGATAGAAGTTTGGGATCTTGATGACACTCGCACAGAACATGGCTCTAGCTGGAGAAGGCAAATGATTTCAATTAACACATTACTGTGTGCAGTCTATAAAACTACACATTTCTATGTACACCTTCATCTTGCGTTCTTAAAATAACGGTATGGAGAACAGATATGCCTTGTTTTGTAAATTTTCTATGGTATTTATTAGGAAAACTGTTAAACGCCTTGCCTTTGAGATAACAACAGTGTAAGTGCTTCCATTACAACAAAGAAATCGAGAAAACCCCGGAAAGTTTACCAAAGCCACTTGCCAAACAGTTTTGCCTTTAAGCTCTTTAAGCATGGCTTAAAACCCTGGTTGATCTGAAGAATGTGAGGAGGATGTTGCTCAGTCTAACCCCACGGAGCAAAATGTATGCATTTTCCAAGCCACTTCTGTACTCAACCCCATGCCTTTCCCATTCACCGGGTGGACAGCTAAGTTAAGCAGTCTGTATTTAACCACCTAGATCATCCTCTATCTGCTGTACAATATCATATCACTTTTAGAAAGCAGAAGGATTTTCAATGTATACATGCTGTGAACATGTATATTTGGAAGTTGTAATGTATTCTTATGTCCAGGCAAGTAATTTAATTATACCACTTCATTAATGTTAAGCAGTGGCCAAGTGAACATCCTGCAACTCAGTGAGAAAATACTTGTTAATGTATAGGCCACTGACCTCCAGAACACAGATTGGGTAAAAGCAATATGTTGTAACAGAATGTATAAATATTTTTGATAAAAAACAGTGTATATTTTCTAAGCCCCCCAACACTAAACACTGTACCTCAAAAGTTGACAAATAACTTAGACCAGACACTGTGCATACTTGTATAACCCAAGACCTGGTTTTGGCATCTGGTGTTCTGTAACTTCTGCATGTGGTCCTTTGGCTCCAGCATCACTTGGAGCTGTTTGCAGATGTCCTCGCCCAGGTTCATCCCAGCCAGGAGTTTGCTGTTCAAGGGCTAAGACAGTGAGACTCAGCACGCAACTGGATGCAAAACTATGAATGAATGAAATTACAAGAAGAAATGTGAGCCACTGGAGAGTGCAGCACTGAGGTGGTGGTTTAGAATCATGATGCTGGACAGACCTGCATGGGAGAGGCTTTGGGAGGAAATCACTGGTTACTAGGTGTAAGTAAGTGCTGCGCCCCTGGGAACAAGGCGGGCAGCTTCCCCACGCTCCACACGATGTCTGGCAGTGCGGCCACTTCTCAGCATCACTTGTTTCCAGACTGTGATCAGTAAGCAAACAAATCATGTTCCTGTATCCAGCTGAAACCAAGACTTTTGAGGTACAGTCAGCTCGCCCTTCTTGGTTCCCAAATATATATATATCTGAGCATCTAACAGGGTGCTTAACACTTCTGAAAGTATCCTCAAAAAATACCATTTTTGTAACTACATCTTGTACAGAAATTTTTTTAATCTAAGTAAATCACACAAAAAAAAAAGGGTAAAAAAAATTAGAGGGCAGGGTCTGTTCACCCAGGTAAGCTGAAAAAAAGCACTAATTTTATCTCTGTAGTTTTTAAAGTATTTTTAGGCAGATTAAGATTTTAAACCCTAGATTGTAAATATATTTTGCTATACTTTATCTGTATGTGGCTGCTCAAGCACTTTGTAAGGAAATTAGGATTATTTTAGAATGGTACACTATGCATTAAAATGAAATGTGCCTTTAACAAATGTCATTCTAAGTGTTTTGCAGTCATTAATATCACAAATTAAAGTTTTAAATAGAGTAATTTGTAAAATGTGTCCCAAACATGATTTTGCTGTTTCTTGAAGTGACTTGTCATGTTTTTTCCACAGGTAACTTCAGAAAAGAACTTGCCATCAGCAAGGGACTTAGAGAATCCCAGTTTCTTGCCAAAGGCAAGCAGCCCCCTCCTGCCTGGGAGAGCAGTCCTGAAAGGAGCAGCAGACCATGGCTACTGTGGTCAGGCCAGTGTGAGCCAGCATTCTCCCTTCAGGGGCTTCCCCGGATGGCAGGGGGAGGCGATGCTTGCTCCCCTCCCTGGGTATTTATCCATTCTAATATCTCTCTTCCCCCCATTACATAGGAAAGCTCTGCACACAAACCAAACCCCAGTGCCCACGGAGCTTGTTCTTTAAGCAGAGAATGAAGCTTTCTTTTCTCAGTGTGGTTAGAAAAGAAACCTTTACTCCTAGAAAACAAACTAACATTGCACATGAGACCATTGCCTACAGCTGCTCAACTTCAGTACACAACTACACTATCACTTCAGAAAGGGCTGACTCCATAGAAGATAGAAGCAGTTCCAAAAATTAATATAGGAAGTGCCTGGAGGATGCTACACAGGGGGGAAATACAAGCCTGTAGTGTTCCAGTGCTCTCTCCTGGCTCACTACTGCAACAACACAGGTGCATTAGCAGCGAACCCCAAACCTATGGAACTGCAGCCAGTTTCCTCACTTGCACTTCAGGCTCTACTTGTCCATCAGCCCTTGCTACCACTCAGCTGCAATAACACAAGAAGGCAATTAGCTAAGAGGTTGCAGAGCTGCAAAAACCTCTCCAGCTCCCCAGGCCTACCCCTGTAACCCCAAGAACTGGTGGGGTACCGTGCACACAGCTGCACACATGGACATCACACATACCAGGAAACCTCATTTCTGAAGAAGCTTCTGTAAGAGAAGCCATGTTCCTTAGCTTCAAAGCAGCTCAGTAAAGGGGCTGTAAGTGCCTAGAAGTGAATTCAGTTAGTTGCACTTTTTTTTTTCTCTGCTTAGTTAACTATGGTTAATGCTTCACATTAACCACAGTCTACTGGGACCAGCAGTAGCTTGTTTTCAGACTATAAGGCCCCTTGAAGTACAGGGCTAGTACTGACTCTGGGCTACACTGTTCCTATTATCTCCATACTAAGGATGGCAGGAAGAGGCAGGGCCAGGTCAGGATGCTATGACCCTGCCTTCACCTGCTGCACTCGTCTCTGCACGGATGTATTTACATTTTAGTCCAAGCAGCTTGTGCTGTATGTAACAATTTCAACTGCAAATGCTCACCACTCACATGTCAAGTGTTCTGCATAATGCCTGAAAGCATTTCAAGTAAGAGCATTATTGTAAATCTAAGTTTCAGCCATTTTTAACCTGTATGTAGTAGATTTAACATTCTGCTCTACAGTACACTCACTGTAAAATAACCTTCATCTTTGCATTTCAAACTGTAACAGTACATTAAAGGTCAGGCCCTGCCGATACAAAGCACCTCACCTTCTCCCATGGATGAGGTCAAGCAGCTCAGAGAAAGCCCAGGTACTAGTGTTGCAGCAAAGTTTAAGGAAATATATTAGCCGTTAGAATACAATCCCTCCAACCTACCATAACCACCACCTTCAACATCTGCACCAGTTCTCAGGACTGCAACCAACAGCCTTAGCAGTGTAACACAACTGTGCTGCCTCTCCTGTTCACAGGGAATAAAATGTTGAGCTGCCACATTGCCATAGTCTCAACTGGCCCAAGAGGATTAAACTAAACCAGCACTAGAACAGTGGGGGCTATTGACAATGGATGCTGTTAGCACTGCCTTCTGGCTGGCTGAGGACCAGATGTAGAGCAAGCTCATCCCTCAGCTGTTCATTTTGGTAATTCAAATTAATTTGCACCTGTGATACAAAATTAACTTGGGCACCAAAAGACTCCCAGTTCAGTGCATTTGTTGCTTTGCACACAAAGGGACACTGTCAAGAGGCAGCTAGTTTCCAAAGCTGTTAGTTGCGGGGGGAGAAGGGTGGGCTGAGTAACTTCTGGCCTTTGCTCCTCAGCACCTGGCCCATCATTTCAAACAATGAAGTGCTTACACTTGGAATGTAACAGCACAAAAAGCTTGACCACTGGCCAGCCAAGCTACAGGGTGAGATGTTCAACAAAAACTTACTAGAAATACTTGTTACCTTCCTTTGTACAGTACCTTGCATCCCAAAGCTCTCAGGAATTCAGCTAAACTAAGAGTCCTTACACTTCTCTTCAGCTACTTGGTTCTGCCAAATTCACAGAAGTGAAGCAGAGAGACAGGGCCAAGGATGGCACTCATCATTTCACAACAACCCCCAAACCCAGCAGCACTTGTGCAAATATTCTAACCACTTCTCAAGCTACTGCTTGCACTCTGGGTCAAGTCACCCGCTCAACTGTGCAGCTTACTACCAATACTAAAGCCACACTGGAGAGCCAAGAGCACTGAAGCAGCCCCTGACCCCATGTCAAGTTGCAGTCATGTTCACAAAGTGGTGTTTTTGGAAAATGGTTTATTTGGGAATTACATCTTATTTTCAGTTTTCCAAAATACATCTTACTAGATGCCTACAAAAGAAATCTAAATCAGTACAACAATATGAAATTAAGTTTGTTGTGACAGTCATTAAATATTTCATTCCACTAATATATACATACAAAATGCCACACAACAAGTTTGTTTACCCTTGGAATGTGTGCTGCGTCCCAGCAGTTGTGCTCCATCTCCATATCCTTCCAGTTCCACAACATGAAGACTCAATATTAACACTTTGTACATCCTTTATTATAGGCAAAAAATCAGAAGTTTCTTGGTTTGGGGGAAATAAGGGGGGGTTTAATAGAAATTGAAAGTATCTCTACAATTTCACAGCTGTGGTAGTTTGTCTACTGGGGTATCAAACTTGAAGTCTGCTGGGAAGAGATCTGGAGCTCGAGGGTAGATCAGCCTGTAGGATTGTCTGATTGTAACATCAGCCACACCAGCAATATCACCAATTTCTAAGACAAAAAACAGAGAAGTGATTAGTTTCCACTTCTGCTGTTTGAGTAGAAGAAACCAGCAAGCATGATTTATCAACAAGTGCTACACACTTTGCTTAATTCCCGATTCTCCCAGCAGCCTGGTAAGAATGGTTTTAACCACAGTGACTAATAATTTGTACATTCAACTGTCTTCTCACATGCCACAATGTAATTTATGCTATCAACCTTGAAATAATACTAGTTTCAAACTGGAGGAGGGCCAAGAGAAATGTGTCAGAGGCATGGAGCACTGTTTAGCATGCTGAGGAAACACTTGGTTGAGATGAACAGACACTTAAAATTTGTTCCATATTTAACTAAATTTGGAATTAAAACCTTGAACTGCACAAAAGCATTGTCTGAGAACACTGACGGAGTGTGGAGTATTTTAACAATCACTCTTAAGAGACAATCCAATAGCTCAATGTGAGCAAGGATGAAGGCACCATGCTGTTCAAGCTCTAGATCACTCACATGCCCAAGACCCTGTCACCATGACAAAAGCTTCAGGAACAGAATAGCAGTGATTAATGCAGAACAAGGCACCACAACCTTATAGATATTCTCTACATAAAAGCAGCTCTCCACTAAGAAATTGCTAGATTTTAAATGTTTCTTATCTGAACTAGACTAGACACATCAAAAGAGCTCCCACAGCCAGCTACTACCACTTGGATCCCTTTGTTACACCAAGTTTTACCACTGCAGCCTTGGCTCCTTTCCTTCCCTATGTACTGCTCCCACATAGGTACAATTCTCTTCAGCTCCAGAAGCTGATCCACACTGTTCTGGAGCTCAAGAGCAGCCCTGAACTCTCTCCTGGCTTCCTAAGGGCTACCCTACCAGAAGAGAGTAACGCCAAAGGTGATCTATTATCCAAGCCTGCTGTCCCACCACTTCCAATCTTCAAGGCTTAGGTGATTCCCTGGCTGCTAGACTGATTCAAGACTGTAATCTAAAGCCATAACACTACATGTGACTGCCCCTGGTTTGCATATGGAGTTTTTTATTGCAGAAGGTACACATACCAATAGCACAGGTAAAGCTAAAATTATGCTAATTTGAATGCACTGGTCCACTGCATTCAAGAATCCAACTCCTAGGGCCAGAAGAAAGTGAACTTGGTTTATACTGAGCATAGCAAATTACTGTTTTCAATTTGGGGAGCAAGAGATCCTGGTTTGGTCCTTGCTGTATGCAATTAGAATAGCAGCTTATCACTCCTTGCACAGACCTCATCCAAATTTTTCAGTAACATCCAATTCTCTTTCAAGCAGCAAGACATAGGGAAGGAAAATAAAAAGGAAGGAGGTTTTACCTTTTTGTGTCCTTTTCTCTGCAGAAGCTTGTGATGCCATGTAAATAGCTGCAGCTGCTACAGAGATAGGGCTTCTCCCAGGAACCAAATCTAATTCCACAGCTTTACGGGCAATATGTGTTGCTGCCATTTGTACTTGTTTGGGGAGACCCAGATTGGAACAGAATCTTGACATGAAGTCTCCAGTTGTAATGAGATCAACACTGGTTTCAAGAGCCTTCAAAATCAGTTTAAAGCACCGGCCTATTTCCTTCTTTGAAATCCTGGACACTGCACAGATTTCTAAATGAAGAGCAAAAATTAAACTTCAGGCTTCTGTTCCCCCAAAACAGTCAGATTTGATTCTCAATATATTAAGACCTCAAAGAAGGCCAATGTCACAAGGACCACCATCATTAAATAAGCTTTGTATACTGTGAAACCTCCCAGTCACTTCAGTCAGTGAATGTTTTTTGTAAGGAGCTAACACAGTTTGCTTGGTTATGGGAATTTGGCCCTCAATGCCAGAAGCAGCTGTATCCCTGTCAGGGACCAGTTGCACATATTTACTGCAGAACTGTTGGTTTAAGTTCATGAGTCCCCATTATTCTTTCAAAGCAAAACCTTTTAAGTTTCACCCACATTCAGCATGACTTTCAGCTGCCTATTTTAATACATTATGACCCATGCCTGAGAGCCTACTCCACAAGTGTAACACATTTCCCTTCCTTCCCTCCCCAAAAAGTGACCTATAGCTCAGAAAAAACAATTCAACCAAGTCCAGGAATGAGAAAACCAACCTCCTACAGTGACAGTAACTAGACCTTTACTCATAGCAAAATTCAATCTGTATCACCAAAAACTTACCTTTAAATGTTCTTGGAACACCTTCTTGCCTACAGGCTATGTAGAGACAAGCCGAAGCAATAGCATCATTACTCCTTCCCTTCAGGCTCTTTTGCTCATACACTTGCTTGAATAAATTATTTGTTCGGTCCTTCAATGCAAGAAGACTAAATTTAATTAACTCAAGGCCATTTAATTAGCAGCAGTATCAAAAATTCATGTGCTCATTAGATTATGCTAACTAAGTCAATGCCAGAACAATTTAAGGACAGGAGACATAAACTTACAACTATATTTCTAGGGAGGTTGATTCTGTCTGCCATGTTGGTGATCTCTTTAAAAGCATTCATCATTGCACGATCAGAGCTGCTCATAGTTCTGCGATTCTGGTACTTGGAATTCCCAAATTCATCAAAACTTGCTGCACCTGTGCCCTGAGAGAAGAACATTTTACCGTCAATAAAACACAAGCAACTTCCTCCTAATTTCAAGAGCAAACATCTTCCAACTTTATGTATCTTAACTCAAGGCATTCGGTTCCAACAGTTGGGCAAATGAACATCACTGAAGTAAATTATACAATTGAGCAGCGTTCCAAATATCAGGTTCTACACTTGGCACAAGTCTCAAATGATGAATTGATTTCTGAGGACAACGGAGCACACAGGGATTTTTCTCTCCTCGTGTGACACAGTCTGAAGAATAAAATGAATATTCTGTAGCCAGTGTGTGCATCTCAATACTCCTGCCACCAACACTGAGGTCCGTGCGTCGTTTGGGCTGCAGCTGCACTGTGATGGGCCAGCGAGTCAAGAAAACTGAATTCTATGGCCAAATGGAATACAGCTGTTATAACGACAACTCAATTATGAAAATGAAGGCATAGGCAAAGAGAACATCCAAACCAATGACCTATTCAAAACCAATATGATATTGTGGCTGCTAGCAGTTGCAAGCCTTAATTGTGGCAAATGTAAATACTCATATATTCTGCCTTTCCAGGAAAACCTAAAAGAAAAGCTTTAGGTCTTTGGAGAAGTAAGAGCCACCAACTCAACTTGGCAACTTCAAAACAAGCTTAAAACATGCATTTTTCTTTGTACCTTACAACCAAAAGTGAAAACTGCATATTTCTATTAAATATGCAGTCAATTTTGCCCAACTACAGGTCTAAAACCTTTGTCTTCAATAAGCCATCAAATAAGCAAACATGCCTGTAAATACTGCCATGTTTCTGAGCTGCCCAGATGGAATCAGAGCTCATTTCCTCTCTCCTGATCCATGTTCTTGGGAATTGCCCTTTGATTTTGAAACCTCTAATTCCATAATCTCTTTGGTACACATCTGCATTTAATACATGTTCTTTGGCTGACACTTACAATGCTCACTCTTGACCATTCACTTACACTGTTCCACTTCCCCACACCCAAGGACTCCAGTTACACCCCACTTCTGACACTGCAGACCTCTACTGCAAGACCCATACCTGGGGTGCACACACATCCTGCTGCGGAGAAAGGACTCCAGCACAGGATCCTCCCTCCCAGGTTTCTCTATGACAGATGCTGGATTCAAAGATCATTCTTGGGTTTTTCCTACTCCTTCAAACATCCTTTCAGATGAAAAAAAAACCCACCCAGAAATGATCCTGGGAACAACATCCTGGCTGCTCTAAAGGCAATGCCATTTCCTTGACTGGATGAGCACCTCCAACTATCCAAAGGTTACTAGTAAGGTTTAAATGTAAACAAAGAGCAAGAATCAAGCACATCAAACGTGAGACCACAAAGAGCATTACAAATATATCTGCAACACTAGGCCTTTCTTTTAGCAATTATGCCAGAAGAACTTCTCTTGGCCCAAATATACACAATTCTCAAATCGAAAGGCTCCTTCCTGGCCACCACTCATAGGCCTGCAATGCGTTACTGGGGCCATCAAGTATTCTTCTTCACCACAGGGATTTCCCCTGGTCCACTATATAGCACCTAGAACATTAGCAGTAGTAGTAATAATAGTAATGGTTTTCCTTTACCTCTCATGTTTGCCTTTCTTGCTTACGGTTACCTTTTCTTCCGAACAACTGCTTATGTATATTGAAGCTACCAATGCAGCTATAGGCAAGTATTCTTACATACCCTGTTGGTATGAGCACTTCCCAAGAGTCATACCCAACATACAGCTCACAACTATAAAAGGATTAGAAAATACTCTTCCATCTCAACCACTTAGGTAAATCACAACAACTCTCCCTGCATTTACTACTGAAATGCATCAATGACTTTCCTCCTGCACCTTTCAATCGAGGGACAATCCTTTTGGCTTCAGCCCCTGACAATCATGTTAGGAATCTGCTTCCCTTCATGGAAAAACCAGAAGGGAGACAGTTATAGTGGAAATCAAATTGACTTTAGGAACTGTGTGGTTTACTGTTGTGGCCTTTACGAGACATCTATTCATACCTTTCCCATCTCAGCAAAAAAGGTACCTGTCAAAGTTCTACCTGTTTGGCTTCCAAACAAAGCGGAAACCTCATGGATACATTCCTGGAAACAGCCTCAAAGATAGGTAGAGTGAGAAAACACAGTCCAGTAAACAGTGGCGATCTCTGAAGGGGCACAGCAGAGGTTGGTTAACGGTGTTGGCAACCAGCAGCTTTGTACGCCTTTAATAGCGGAGAGCGGAAGTATCATCCACATCATTGACCTGATGTTATCCACAGCGCCAAGGAATGCCCCCAGATCTGACAGTCTTCTTGCCCAGTACAACCAGCTCACACAGCTTGACAGAGCCTTTCTTTTCAACCATCAGCCCTTGATGTCCTGCCACTGCTTCTCAATATAGCACTTCTAGATCCAGGCCACACAGTCTGACAACAGCGAGCTTTCTTACAGAGGCATCTGATCAAAGGATAGGAATTCTGTACCAAGAGATTGCACCAGTTTCTTGTTCGACCAACCTAAATTCTCTTGTAATTGCAGTTACTACAAAAACTAATGGATTAATTACAAAGGGTGACAAAAGACAACTTTTTTCACAAGATAGGTGGCAAATCTTAAAGTTTTCTCTTAGAAAAGAGTTGTTCACATCACAGCAGTTCTAGAAGCTGCTTGCTCTTTTTGCTGAGGATTTTAGAAAGAACTGAAATCTTCAGGCAGTCAAGTCACAACTAATGCCAGATTTCACCACACCTCCGATTGACCTGCATTGGCCACCAGAACAAACACAGTACACAGTACCTTTGGAGATACAGGTGTGTGCCAGTATCCTAAAGATCTGTCTGACAAATGCAAACTACTTCTACCACAGCCAACTATATTATTCGTCCTCTTCTTCAGAGACACATTAATCTTTCTTCCTGAACAGACTGTTGCTGCCTCAGACAGATGGGTCCCTTAAGTACTAAAACCAATTAGTAACTAATCCCTTTGCATGGGCAAAGCAGCCTCTGTTTTGCTGCTAGTTGATAAAGACCACATACTCCTAGCAGAGAGTCCTGAAGCAGCACAGAGAGGAGAGTACAAACCATTCTGTGAGGCAGAACCGTCCCATTCCTTTACTACTTCAAGGCAATAGCCGGTCATCAGAACTTGACTGTCGTACCTGGCAAGTGGTTCAGATTCCATTTCCACCTACATTCCCAGGAGTTTACAACAGATCCCTCATAATTCTCATTGCACATCATATTAATGTCCCTCTCTTTTGGATTTTCCACAGCACGGGTTGTGTTTGGGTTTTGAAGTAGGGGCTTTTTTGGTGGTGGGAGTGGTTTATTTGATTTAAAGATCCTATTATCTCTAACTAGCTCTACCTCAAGCAGAAAGGAATACCTCTGTTCCCTGTCCCCATGCAAAAGGGATCTTTGGCACACAAATCTGGGGTCCATTCCAGGCCACTCCAAGAATTGTTGTTAACTGAGAAAATACAATCTTGCCCTGATTCCTCCTCTGGCATTCATGAAGGCTGTTCTCTACTCTGTCAGATACTACTTATCCTCCTGCTGACTACACCAATTTCACCCTTATTCAACCACTCTGCATATCTAGGTCAATCCTCATCCCAGCCTACTGCTGGCAGGGACTTCAGACAACTGCTTCAGAAAGGTACTACTTCCTTTAGTTTTGCTGCAAAATTCATGCTCTTTCTGCACTGATAGGAAACCTCTTCATTTGCTGATATAAGCTGTTCTCTGAGGGAAAAAAAGCCAGCTCCTGACACACAGTCCACATCAATGAGCTGACATCCCAGAGTCCCAGCTCAGTGGCAAACCAAACACAGAAATTCTTGTACAGAACACATCCTGGTTTGTCAAACAGATTACCAACTTCCTGTCTCTCTTCTGCAATTCCTCCCTGTGCAAATAAAATACCCAAGCAGGACAGATAGCCCCCTCTCCAATCTGATCCTGGTAGTTCCAGTACTGAGATGTTTTTATTCACAGTTCTCATGGGTTCATGCCACATGGACATTCCCACATCCTGTCTCCACTGAATGGCACTCCTTGCTATGGCAAGTTTGTTCATACTTATTTCAGATGTTCTGGGCTACAGCAAAATTGTTTAACTACATGAATGTCTATCTCCAATTCCCTCTCTAGGGCTACTACCCCTCTTATTTTATACGAGGATCTCAGCCTCCAGAGAGAAGAGGGTTAACAGCACAACTAATTGTTCACCTAGATACAAATTCTATACCTTTGGCTGAAATATCTTTTTGAACACAGGGGTTCTTAAAAGAGCTCAGAAGGTTATCCCACCTACTGAATCAAACTGAGCCTCCAGAAACAAACCCTGTACTTATACAGGCCCCAAACAAGACAACAGCGTGAACCTGGAGCAAACAGTCCATTTCTCCACCTGTCTCTCAAGATGTATTTCTGATCTTTATCACAGCTGACAAATCAGCAACAGAAATCCAAGCCCCGGTATCTACAATATTTCTGGACCTACAGAGGTCACATTAAAACTCCAGTGATTCTACAACACTACTTCACAAAGCTACTTAGCAACGCCAACCTTTTTAATGGAACAGTACAGAAATTTGTTTGCCTGAATGGATTCTAAAAGCCACCATAAGACATCCTAAAATCTGGTGGGCAGCAATGCTTGGAGTTGTCCAAAACATAAGCACCTACTTGGACAATTCTTTGAATAGAAGGTTTCCTTTTCACCAGCGGTGAAAAATTAGCTGTCTGTATCTGTACTCACTAGGTGACTTCATCTCTGTGAAGAACTCCTGGTCAAGAAGTATCCATACACCCATCCATACATGTTTAAGTACATCTACTTCCTCATCCTAGCAACATCACTGGAACAAAAGCTTCTAAGAAACCCTAGTGTGCATATACCCCCCCCCACAAAGCAGCAATACATTATTTAATAGTTATTTATTAGCAGAGAGCTGAGGACCAGCTCTCATGAAATAGGCAAGAAACACACAAAAATCAATTTGGATCTTGCAGAAAAAAAAAAACAGAACACAAAGGACAACAATGAAAATTTACCTGAGTTACTACTTCAATCATTAAAGGCAGTGCATTTGTGCAGTTAACCTTGCTTGTTTTCTCAGGGGAAACTGCAGGGGAAATGGCTGTACCACTGAATTTCAACTCAAATGTACATTGTATACTTTCTTCTGGAGCACTCACACCATGAAAGAATTCTACATTTAGTGCGTGAATATTAACTGGAAGAACATGCACAATGTGCATGTAGAACTCAAGGTCTCTAATATTAATCTGATACAGATTTTATTACCAAAATACGACAATTCAAGTTGGGCAGTACCAGCTATTGAGACCTCAAAACTAATTATCTGTTATTTCAGAATCATCCCCGACACACAGGCTAAGTCAAAGGGTTTCTTTAAAGACTGCAATATCAGCTTTTCTATTTATAGCAGCATACCAAGGAGTGGCAAGTAATCACAGAGCACTGCAAAGCTTTCACCTGCTGAAGGGGTCAGGTCTTCCCTGCTACCCCCAGGAAAGAGCTGCATTTTACAGACAAAATCTCTTTGTAAATACATTCTCTGAATACTTTCCCTGCAGGTACACAAATGTACTTGACATAAAAACACTGAAATTTTGTAAAATGTAATATTTTAAGTGTTACCTTGCCAATCATTGTACTCAAGTCGCCATCACTCAACAACGGATTCTGGGTATCCCCAACTCGAGACGGATCTTTTGTGGCTTTGTCATTGCTGAAAGTTCTCCACTCCGATCCTACATCTATGACCCGGTCACCTGAGTTCACAGAAAGCAACAGTCTCCATTGAGCTTGAAATATTTTATTAAATATCATAGCTCACATATCCAAGTTCTCCATTAGAAGAGGGCAGCCTGTTGGCATTCCCAAACAGAGCGGTAACTTGCAGGACAATGTACCAAAATGTTTGGGATTTACAAGTTAAGCTGAAGGCAATGGGAAAAAAGCAAAATGCAACTAGAGCTGCAGAGAAAACAGAGAAACACATCCAGAACTTAGAATGTTAATAGTTATCCTTAAAGAGTATTGTGAAGTCTTCAATACCAAAAGGAACCAAGACCCTGATATCAAGCTTGAGGCTGTGGTTGCCTACATTTGCAGCATTTAGACAAGTAAGTTACTTTAACATAACAAGTTTGCTTGCATTTGCCATGTGTTCAAAGTTGTGCATGATAGGTAATTCACATGTACAATCTTATTAAGCTGTAGTAAATCACTTCTGAGCATGAACTCCAGGTGCTTAGTACTCCAAAAGATACCACCTTCTAACCCACCATAATGACATCTTGCAGTTTGATTCTTGCTCATGACAGAAGGTCTGACCCTGCCCAACTCTGTTTATGATGCTTGACAGTATCATCAAACAATATACATATACAAAACTATTTCTTTTTAAACTCAATCTACCCTGTTAAACCTGAAAGAGTTTAACTAAAGATTCAGAGTAAGCAGAAAAAACACACTAAACACATTCTGTGAATGAAACAACATTCACAGGTCTGCTAAAAGCTGCATCTCAAAAGCGCTGCCTACAGAGCAATACTACAGAAAGTTTTAAGAAAACACATACAGAAAATCACAAAAGGAACACTCTTCTTAGTGTTTTGCAGTAAAGCAGATTACAGCTGTGTAGGATATCAGAAGAAACTACATTATAATTATACGTTATAACTGTCACCCTGCTTTGCTAAACGTGAAGAAAAATTCACTTTTTCAGTGTTTAAGTGTGTTTTAAAAGAAACATCTGCCAAAAAAAAGTAGATTTGACTGCAAGAAAAATGTTCAGTATGGAAGGCTCAGGATGAAACCACAGAGGCTGATTTGAGCTGGTGAAAATCTAAGTTAACAGACAAAAGCACTCTTCAAACAATAGAAATACAAGATACAAAGCCACAGGAAAAAATAGCAGCAACGGACAGTGGTGTAACTGCACAATTACCACAGGGGATATCTATTCCAAATGAGGAATATTATTCTTACCATAAAGGAATATGCTTGAAATTCAAAGCTGTGAATGAATCATAAGGAATCACCACAAACAAAAAGAATATATTTAGGTTAGAGTTAGCTTGGAGGTGTTCTCACGAAGACTTGCCAGACATGCTAACAGCTATGCTCCACCTTCATATACTGCTCTAATGAAAACCAATAGAAGGAGAAACATACATAAATAAAAATAAACTAGAAGGATAAGAATACAGCAGAGTTAAAAATGGCACAGATCTATTCTTTCTGCAAGCTTAAATTAGCAGACAGTATGTCCTCTAGCTCCTGGACTGTGTAAGTATTTGATTCAGTAATGCTCCTTCTATGGCCTAGCAGTAACTTTACTTTAAGACAACCCCCTAATACTGTTTACAGCATCTAAAAAAAGCAAAATGTACTTAAAATTCTGGCATGGTATAAATAGAACACTGAGTACAGGGCAATGATGTAATATTTTTCCACACAAGTGGGAATGACCTAAATGACTCACTCAGGGATCTGCCTTCTTGCAACTTGTGAACCATTCCTGCTCTAACAAAAAAGCGTTATATCACTGCCTGATTTGGCAAACATATTACAAACAGAGGATTGAGACTACTAGTTCAGAGTGAGAAAAGATTAAGTAGAACAAATCACTGAATATAAAGCATTTGTGTAATTAAGATACAGTAAGCAAATACCTTTAGTTTGCCAAGAAATTTGCTACTGAAGAAAAGAAGTTTTTCCTGTATGTGCTCAGTCTTATTTAAAGCATACAGAGGTCCTAGGAAGTACATTCCACCTTTCAAAAGCCTTCTATAAAAGTGACACAAGCTAGAAATAGGAACAAAAATGGAACAAATAGGCCAAAAGGTTTTCATAGGTGGAAAAAATACTCAACTACAAGCAGCTGATCATCCCATTCAACACACAGACACACAAAAACCTCGTGGCATCTATCATTTGTAACTCTTCAAAACATAAGAGCCAGTCCGGAACTGTGATGTTGGTACAGATGAAATCAAACCCCACCCTAAGTGATCAAAACAAAGTCTTGCAATACTGAAGTCAGTCTTACAAAAAGCAGTGTAAGGAACCAGCCTTAAAGGCTGGCCCTGAGGTAACATTTCAAGTCCTAAGCTGAATTGGGGCTAGGTCACACACAGGTCCTGAAGCACCTGGAAAATGGGCCTGACAGTCAAAGAGAGTCAAAAATAAGCCTCCAATAAGTACCTTATAAAAATCATCACTGCTTTCTCACATCACCATTATATTGGTATTGGTAATGGTAACCAGCTGTGATAAGTATGGGAGTGGCTGCTTATCCCCTTCACTACTTCCTTTTGATGCAGTCCTTTCGAAGGAAAACAAGCTTCACTGGATGTGGTTACACAAGACACTCCTTTATTTAAGCTTTCAAACCAATGAGTTGGTCTCAGCTTCCTCCTCCAAATTACATACAAAAAAAAAGCAGTTTACAGGACCAAATCTCTGTGGAACCACCTTCAGACTGATGCCTTGAAGCATCTTTCTGATCGTGAGTGTTCCTCCATTGCCCCATTTCATTTTGTCAACTACACTTCCAGTATCCAGTTACTCTTTAAAATACAGTCTAACAGCCTATCACACAGGCTCTAGTGAAAACACACACTGCAACCTTCACTGACTCAGGTTACCCACCATATGAAAAGCTCATTTAGGGAAATGCAGAACTGTTATTCAGAACGGAAAACCCCAGACCAAGGTTGCTTTTCTTCACAACTGCCAAATGCAAAGAGCATGTGCTACAGAAACGCAAGAGGAAACTCGGGTCAGTATCAGAAAGTAAAATATCATTTCTAACTACTCCTAAAATTTAGCTTAAAATTATATCTGTTTGCTCCTCCTCTTAACAGAGAACACAATTTCTCAAGGGAAAATATTTTCCTTCAATAAGCCCTGAATTTACAATTACATATTTATAGAGAAATAATCCCAGCTATTTTAACACTGCAGTTACTCATAATACACAAGTATTTTATTCTCTTTTTTCCATTTTGTATTATGTTACATGAAGACAATACAGCTGCAAATTGAAGATGTTTAAACAAAACAAGAAATAGGATAAAATTCAAGCCTCAAGTAATGTTAACTTCCATATCTAGTCTTGAAACAGCTCAGAGAAAGTATGTTCTTAAAGTCTCTTCCAGGGAAGCTTCAGTGTTAGCTGTCCATTGATTGTATCAAGTTCCATATATTATGAACTAATATTTTAATCTTAACAAATATGGTATTAAAGTTTCTTTGCATTTTAAATACTTACTGTACCTAATGTTTCATTCTTACAGTTAGTTAAGGAATCTGCTGCCATCTAGTGAGCACATACATTATACTTTTAATTAAAAGCATTTTACAATGCCAAATTTAAGAAAAATACGATATAGAATTACAATTCATTTCAGTCAACTCCTTATTAACCAGAGTAATGAGGTGCTGAGACAAACTGTAATGAAAATCCTTGGTAGCAGGCTACAAGATGGGAAGAATTGTAAAGACATGTAACTCTGCACAGAGCCAAGCTGAACTGGGCCTTGTGTTTTCCAGGCCAACAGTCCCAGCTATGGCTCATACAGAAAATGCTCTAACCCCTAAATCACTTTTGAAACTCCTGCTGGACTTGCTCCAGCAAATCTCTACCTTTCTACTACCAAGGAGCCCAGAATTAGACAGAGCATTCCAGATATCTAGTCTCCCATGTTCTTACTTATTAGCTTACACACTGCCCCATACAGTAGAGTACTCAACTTTATAGCTTCCAAAACTACAAAGTTATCTTGTTTTGAATAAATCATTAACACCACAAATGCATTATCACCAACAGCCTATTCACAAGATTGAAATAAGAAACAGAACCAATACAGGCTTAAGCAAATACAGGTTAAACAAAACCAACCAAATAAAACCCCACCAAAACAAGAAACAAACATACAAAGAAACCAACAGAAAACCTCAACTAGTTTTCAGTCATCAACAGCATCACAGGTACTACAGAACCTATAAGCAATTATGGACTGAAACAACAGTACCGTGCTGCAGGCAAACAAGTGACAGAAGATTGAGCAGCTCCTGCTTATCAAAATGATGACAAATCTCAAAGGACTTCCAGCTTCCTAAACCATCAACTTCTAATAATTCTGAAGGAAGGAAATGGAGTAAAAATGTTAAACAGTCTGGTGGACAAGTCTGGTCAGTTGAAGTTAAACCCCTCCAGGACTTGTGGCCTTTAAAAGACAAACACCTCTAGTACTTCCAAAGGATGTTCCAAGATGCAGAATCTTAATGAAAAGCCATGCACCTGCTATACATCACACCCCAGAAATAAGAGGCTTTGGACTCTTCTTCCATCAGTTCAGGTCATTTGTAGACCTGTTTACCCTAAATCACTTTGTCAACCTGATAAGGAAGCAAGGAAAAAACATTCCCTAAATAGGATGATTCCAATTGTTACTGTTACTCCACTGGATAACTCTAGCACTTCAACTAATGGAAACATTCTTCATAGTGGCTCTCAAACACCTTTGGTTCCCAGCCTAGAACCCACTAACTAGAAAGTCTCCTCCACTCTCCAGGAAAATTCGTAACAAGAGCAGAGCTTATCACAAAGCCTGACAAAACATGCCACCTTTTGGCATCTAAACTTTCCACTGTTGCAAACATACTTGCTGAAACAGCTAAAACCGTTACCCATCTTTAAAGGTGAAATGGGCTTGACTTATAACACAGTCTATTTAAAATGCTGACTGAAAAAAGCTGGCAAATTATTTACTTCATATTATGAACTGCCTGCGTAAATCAAGCATACATGAACACTCATGCAAAAGTCACACTCAGAATTTAAGTATCAGCAGCCTTTCTAATTAGTTTTCCTGTGGATACAGAGGTTTTTTGGCAAGGACTAACTTCTGTCAGACATTTTTTAGTCCTCTGAATACCAAGTGCAGAAGCAGTAACCAGATATAAAGGTGCACCTCTAAAGATCTTTTTATTTAAATACTTTAAATTGAGACCTCACACTTAAGTTTTAAATGTTGGTAATACTCACAGAAAGAAATAACCATGAACATACATCCAAATATGAAGAGACTTCAGCACTTGGAGGTACAAAGATACTAGAATAGGTGTAACTGGCCTCTGCTGGACCCAAGGCAGAAATACTTAGGCACCTTCTCCACTTAGAAGATACCACCAATAACTGATAAAAAAAAGGTTTCTTTGGTTTTCAGAAAAGAACTATGTATAGATGTAATCAATCCTAGCCCTAATGATAGACAACCTGAGTAATGGACTGGCCAGCAGAGATGAAACCACAAAACCCCTACCCACTTATTGATTATACTGCAGAGGCAAAACCCCAACATCTGCAGCACAGTTAAATCTTGTCTGCTCTTCATAGACCATACCTAAATTTAAGATGCACCATTTAGATTTCAAACTTTTCAGAATCGTCAGCCATACCAAATATTCTGACAGCATTTCCTAACAGCCTTGCTGCTGACTACAAGCTGTGGAACATTCCCCCCCCCCCCCCATTTTCTAACTGAATACTCAGGTACACAAAGAATCTGGAATAAACACTTGAATATAGGTCAGAATCTGATTCAAAACTTTAACAAGTTGCTACGTATCCAAAGCTTCAGGTGAAAATAGACTTCTGTTTCCAACTGTTTTCTGTTTCCAAATTAACTTCTTCTCCCAAACTCCTCACTGCTTCAACTCCTGCACACTAAGACAACATGTAATGAAACTACAGAGAAGTTAAGGGATGTCTTAGATCAGGAAGGTGTTCCTCCCTAGCCGAGATGCTACACAGCTGTACATGCCCCTAGAATCACTCTTACTCTGCTCCGAGATCCAGCTCACCACCCTACTATATTGAGAAAATTCAGTTACTTGTATTCCACTATGATATTGCTTTCAGCTCCTTCTGGTTTATCAGCTGACTTACTACCTTTTAGGTAGTAAAAAAGGCTGCAAGTAAAATAATTACTTGTCAAGAAAGAGATACTAGCCTTGTGTTCTTGAACAACATAATTCTCCCCCCATCAAGTCTGTCTGAAGAATGAGACACAGTCAATGTTTTTAAATTAACACAGAACTAACCACTTCTCCAAACCTAAAGAACCCTGCTGGTGAATTCTTAAGTCAGCACACTCACTCTACCATACATCCTAGAATGATTTGAGAGAACTATGGCTAATAAAACATCAGACTTATGACAGCAGATAAGCCTGGACATATATTTGCAAAATTTTAGATGCATGCTATTCCAGGCTAACATCAAAAATCCATGGATAACTGCCAAAGTCTCCAACAGCTTTTCATGTAAAAGGCAGTAAGCAGGAAGAAAAGTTAACAAGCTGGAAACAGTTACTATGAAAAGATGGAACCTAAGTTAACCCAGGAAAGGTAACAATGAAAAGGCAGATGAGAGTTTTTAGCAGACTGAAGCTATATTTAGAAGCAGTAATAAACCAGCCACCAGCTTCAATCATACTGACATGACAAGATCTGTTTCAATACTGGAGTAAACTGCTGTTTTGCTGTGCAAACAAGTGAAAAAATGCAAAGAAAAAACAGCATACTGGATTTAACTTCAAATTTCCATTTTGAGACACTAAGAACAATACCTATAAGTAAAAAGCAACTTTGAATAAAGAACTTTTTCAAAAAATCCCTTTAAAAAAGTAATACTTCCAATAAACAGCTCTGCCTAAGACATGGAATTCAACTGCTAAAGAGATAAGCTTCTCCTTTCCCTAGCCTCCTACTCTCCCAAACTTACCCATTTCTTTCCCTAATACAATCTATTGTAGATACAATCTATGTATCTACAATACAGACCTAATACAATTTCAGTCATGATCCTAATTCCATCTCATATCCCCAGAAGATTGATCACAATCCTGAAAATTATCTACACACCAGCTATTTTATCCTTTGACACAGTTGTACATTTAATTCACACTTTGTAGTACTTTGCCATAGCAAGCAAGAAAAACCTCAAGTGGAAAATACACTTTGTCAAAGACTGTTCATCTTATTTCAGCTACACTATACTAAAAAACAAAATCAATGAAATCACATTACTAAACACAACACTAAAATAAATGCACAAAGTCAGCCTTTAGCATTGAGCCTCACATACACCAGCAGAGCTCTGGAAAATACCACAGTATTTTCAAGTAAACCTGTAACACTTTGGCTACTAAGTATATTGAGTCTTTTGGGTTTTTAACTGTTCTAACTCATCCCCCTCAGTGATAAAGATCCCACTAACTTTCAGCTCACCTCCAGACATGTTCTCAGGGGTCCCTATTCCCATCAGCTACACAGGATGACCTGGATAAGCACTGGAACTCAATTTCACAACTTTTCTGTGTAAGAACAGGAAATGAAATCTTCCCTCTTAAGGGGAACTTGTATCGAGGAATGTGAAACAAACACACAGTTCTCGCTCAGAACAGGATTTTGCCTTCACTCCTTTGAAACATCGCTATTTCACACCCATTACCTGCAAACAGGCATCAAGAACTGGAGCTGGTTTTCTCCTTCTCTAAATATATTACCATAACAGAAGAGAAAACACTGAATATAAACACTTCTGTTTGCTCATGCACTTTTTGATTACTTATCTTCATCTGATTTGTGTTTTTTTCCAAACTACCTGTTAGATACCCTAGGTAATGAATTGAACACATGCAGGTAAACTACATTGCTAAAGAAAGGCAAGACAGAATGAGACCAATTAGCATCACGAAATGTTGAAACCTCTTAATGATAAATCTGTAAAAAGGCCTACTTTAAATATACAGCATGCTTAAAGAAAAACACACTACTTTTTTTTTTACCCTAATGTCAGCTGTAAAGAAGACTAAGACCATTTAAACACATTTTGAAAATTGAACTTGGCAAAAGTTTCTGTAAAGATATTAATGATTCTGCTCATCAAAAATATTGATGATTTGAGTTCAAGAAGTCTCCAATGTTACTGATTCAGAAGAGAGCGTAAAACTCTGAAGCAAGAATACCTTATGACTAGGTAACAGAAGGCACATGAACCGAGACTTCTGAGAAGCTCCCAAGTTCCTAACAGTGAAATGGATCAAGCAAAACCACTCCCTCTTCTTCTAAAGCCAGAATTACTTTTAAGTTGCTAACTGATGAACATGGGCTTTTCTACATTTTGGTTCAATTCGTACGGCAGCCACACAGAGAGCTGAATATGGAGTAAACTACTTTAAAGCAATAACTTAGATGCCTATTACCATATTTCAAGAGGAAATATTGCTGTGGCCATTTGAATTTCTAACCAGCAAATTTATTACATTTATCAGAATTTCTGCAACTTAAACCAGTCCTTCTTTTAACAAAGCCAGTAACAATCCTCCCCCTTGATTTTAAATGGTTTCATCATTTTAAAGGAAACTGGTACTCCAGGTTCAATGTTTTAACATTTACTTTAATAAACTATATGGATGCTTGTTTTTTGCATAAAAAGGAACTTATTTTAATTACCTAGCTAAATTAGTACTACTTTTGCCAGAACTTATTTAATATTCAGCGTTACGCTAATATCTGTATGAAAACCATGAATTCAGTACAAGAGCCAAGAAAATCACCATAGTCTGAGACAGAGAAGAATATTTAGCATCACTGAACAAATAACCTGAATATGCACCCTCAAAACAGAGGAGTTTCTTCTGGCCATAGCATGTATAAAAAAATTAATAGAAATAAATGAGGTTTAAAGAATGACCATAACATGAGCATGAAAATTTTCCCATGCAAAAGGAATAAAGACAAGAAGATGCACAGTAAGATGCTCATCTTAGGAAAGATACATGCAAATGAACATGCAGCATGTTCTATGACAGCATGGTTCTCTCTGCTTCTTATTCAAAATGACTTTCATTTTATTTATTCCATTATACTTCAAAATACAGTTTAGACTGTGGAAGTTGCTGCCACATGAACTGAATAAGAGAGCTCAGCAGAATTCCAGAGGAAAAACTGGATATTTACTTTGGATAGTCATGCAAGCCTTAGGAGAAGCAATTAACAAGAACAGGTGCTGGCAAGGATATAAAGATAATTCCTCCAAGGCAGAAGATAACCTGTAACCAAGGGAAAACAGATTTTTTTTTTTTGTATTTTTTCTTTAAGCAAGTTATTTGACAAAGAGCTTTTGTTACATTTCTTATACCTTCCTGTCTGAAACAACAGTCATTACGAAAGACAGAATACTGGACTAGACAGCACAATACCCTAATTCAATATTACAACATATTTTCAAGCTTTAAAAAGAGTGTTGCTCTTTTCATAATGCAAGAAGTTACCAACAGGCAGACTATTCAAAACAGGAAGCTTTCAGCCAACAGAACATCATAAAACATTTAGGCATGAAGAAAAAGGCTTTTAATACTCAAAGTACTATATACCAGTTTTGTGGGAAAACAAATCTACACACACAGGTTATATGGTAATTCACAACAGTAGAATAGCTACTTACCTACTACTAGCCCACACTCGGAACAGATCATATCACCTGCTCTGTAATCCTCTACTAAAATGGAATCTGGATGATTCGGGCAAGTCACTCTTGGAAGTACATCCAAGCTAAGAATAAAAAAATTAGAAGCATTTGTTAATTTTAACCAAGCAGCTGCATATCCAAAAGCGTAAGAGTTCCCTGCTGAAAACAACACTTCAGTAATACAGAATTTACAGTCATTTAAATGATAGAATATTAACCTTAACACCTGAACTTCACCTTTTAAATGCTGTAACACTATATTTAACAATCAAGACTTCACGTCATCTTAATCTCCTAATTTTTTTGTAATGCATCCTTGTACCAAAACCACACCAAATTAAAACATCAAAAATCTAATTAACAGACTTGACTAAGTGCAGTCTGCCTCGCAGTCTATCCCTACATGAAGCTCCCCAAGAAGCTAGTGGTGATTGCTTCATTGCAAATGAATGTTTTCAGTCCTTCTAACCAGACAGGTATTACTTACCAGGTCCTTAAATCGGGAAGTACTGCAAACACAACATACATTTTTAGAAAATACCTGGTTCTATCACTGCTTTAATATTTTCAGTATTTGAAGAAAAAAAGCCCATTTTAAATTAAGCCACTCATTAAATGTTGTACCTTAACAAAAGCAATCAGCTCATGAAGGGGACTATGAGAAAACTGCTCTGCTAACACGGATCTCACACTCATGCATCTTTAAGAACTACAGCAGATATACAAAAAACTTTCTATAAAGCATTAGCACTATTTAACACAACAGTAGGGTAATAACCAAGTGTTTTAAAAGCAAATACCTCATTCAAGCTACTAGTGACTGTTAAGCAATTATGTTAAAATCAATCATTTCAAAACTGAATATTTACAACTGGTGCCCATATATTCATCAAAACCGTTTTGCTCGAGCTAAAACGCAGAAGGCACAGAAGGTGATCACAAAGAATTTGTCATGAGCACCCACCAGCCTCAACCAGATTATGCCAAAATATAACTTCTAATCCTTTCAATTGCAGAAAATATCCTATCAAAACTTAAATTTATCTGAGTTCTCCCCTCTCTACTAGTCCATTATTTCAGTCTAACCTACACATTCCATCTAAATTTTTACTCTTTAGGTATTTCTGATGAGTCAAAAGTAGAAAACCATCCCATTTTAATCCGGTAACTGTTCAGAAAGACTTAAAAGGAAAATTGAAAATCAACATCACTATTAATAACAAAGCCTCCAGAAAGAACATGTACATACTAGATCTTCAGATGCAAATTACATCCAAATACTACACAGAAGCTCTTTAAAATACTTCTCACTATTCCCAGCCAGTAGTTTCATGACAAGAAAACCGTTGACAAAGCATGCACCATCATCTGACATCTGGCTTTAACAGTGACACACTAAGCAAAAGAAAACAAATCCAGAAGCCTAGAAAAAATACTAATGGTGTTTGGGTTTAGACATTACCTTAACAAAGCATTCTGAAAATTAGTCTTCCTATCCCAATTTTAACTCCTTTATCTATATATATACACACACTGTGCTTCTTATACAGGTTCGAAACACTAAAGGAAAATGAAGGCAATATGCTTAAGTATACTATACTCGGTTCAGTATACTAAAGGAAAATGTATGGCACGTGTGTAAACGTCCGTCTCAGCAAATAGCTGCCGCGTTGTAATAAGACTGCCAGGAAGCACTCCCTAGATGCCACGACGGGTTCAGGAGTCGCAGAGGCACTCCACAGTCCCGCTCCATGGACCTCCCTTTATTTCTGAGTTGAAAGAAAACCTCGATGCATCCAGGGAAAAAGCCCGATACTCAACAGGTCTGGCCACCCCCCAGTACCGGTACGGATTTAGGGTGGGAGCCTAAAAGCTGTTTTCAGGACCCGATAACCTGAAGCCGAAACCAGGGAGCAGACGCCTGGGCTCAGAGGCTGCGCTGAGCATGAGCGACACCGGGGGCTCCGCGCCCAGGCTATGCCCACCCAGCCTGCGCAGAAGGGCACTCGATCTCCGGCCTTATGGCATATCTCCAGCCCAGCCGAACGAGGAGCAATCCGCGCTCCGCTTGGCCCTACAGGATAAAGGGTTGGATCACCAGCGCCGGTAATACCGAGGGGCCCCGAACACGCCACGGCTCACCACGACACCCTCCCCCCCACACACACACCCACCAAAACGCTCACTTCCCTTCAGAACGCTGCCGATTACTAACGCCACGAAGCCGCAAATCGGCGGGCTCAGCCCCGGCGCTCCCCACCTCCGGCCGCGCTCGGCCCAGCCCACACGGAGCAGCCCAGAGAGGCCTAGCCCTCGGCGACCCTGCAGCCGCCCCGGGAACAGCGCACAGGGCGGCCCGACACACTGGAAGCCGGCTGCGCCACGAACCGAGAGCACGGAGCTACAGACACCGGTCCCTCCCCAGGCAGTAGCAGGGTCAACGCGGCCATTTCCTCTACTGGGCAGAGAGAGATGGCGGCGCCGTCCCCGTCCCCCCCCGCCTCCACCCGGACGGGCGGCGGAGCCGGCCTGCCGTACCGGCTGGTGGACGCCATCTTGCCTCCGTCCTGCCACAGAGCCGAACGAAGTCAAGCAGCGCCGCAAGGGGCCCACTTATATAAGGACGGCGGAGGGGCGGGGCCTGCCCTGCTCGCTACGAGTGCTGCGAAGGGGCGCTTCCCGACGGCAAAGCATGCGGGATGGTGGTTGCGGGTTAGGGTTCGCCTCCTGGATCTAACCGATCAAACGAGGCCGGCTCAAACGCCCGTATGCAAGCTCAGAGGCTGCAGTTTACACCGTTACGCCCCAAGGGACTAGCCGTATGCAAAATCAGTCGGTATATCTAGCAACAACAAGAAATTTTCAAGCTCAAGCTGTAAAACAGGCAAACACCTTATCCCGTTGGTATGAGCCCCTCCTCACTGATAACGAGAGGGATGGCTAGGGCAGGAAATAGAAACTGACGTTACTTCAATGCTTTAAAATGATCAGGATTGAAGTCTGAACAGTTGTAAACAGGCTATCTATTACACAGATACAAAGGGCTGCTCAGGCCATTTAAGACCATGCCTGCACTATACAACAAGAGTATTTTTCAATTTGCTAGCTTAAAGAAGAAAATTCAATGGGGTTGAAAAGTTTCCTTAATACTTGCTAATACTGAGTTAAATTCATTATCACACAACTTCCAAACGCTTTTTCATTGGTAATTCTGTTAATTCCTTTTGGAATAAAAGAAAGCTGAACTATTAGAGATGCTAAGATACATTCTAAAGCATCTCTTTCTCCATTTGCAATGACCTTTTTCATACATGCTCAACAAACCCCAAAGAAGAAATAGTAATGAAAGCAGAATCACTGTAGCAGTCAATGTGAATACAGCATGTGGTATGAAGCTCCCCATAAACTCTGAAAAGTGTATGCAGCTGCATCTGCAGCAGATGTGCCTCATCAGCACGGGCAGTCCCACCAAGCTTTCCAGGTCTGTCCTGACTCCTCACAGAATCTGTTCAATTCAAAAGATCATCTGCCAATGGCTGTCAACAGCGGGTCCCTCCTGACCCTATTCTCATTAACTAGAACTGAGAGTTGAATTTCCACCAGAGCAAGACAATCACTTTCAGAAATGTTGCAATAAATACAACTGATCATATCTCAGGATTTCTTTATTCCCTGTCTGCAGCAATTTTTCAAACACTTGCCCATCAGCAGCAGGGAAAAAGCAGTCGATGTGGCAGATGGTAATACCACTGTTAACATCTCTGTCAACACTGGATCATTTGAATAACTTACAGAAAGCTCACTAGCTTTCCCATCACAGCAGTTACAACAGCAATCCTATTTTGAAACTTAATTGGTCATTCTGGAGTTTCTTTAACTTCCACACAAAGTATCTCATGCTAGCTATGGTCAGTAATAAAAATGGGGAATTGCAATTCTTACATTGCTAATAATACCAGCATAATTTCAATGAGATATTTAGATGCCTTTGCAAACACAATGAACAGTACATTAATGAAAACGAGTCACTGGCTCTTACTTGTATCTCTAAAGGTCCTTTGTTGATTTAGGCAATGGTTATTTTGCTAAAATAGCAGATGTCAGTCAAATGCCTTGAAAGAGCAAATGAAGGAAACAGTAAGCAGCCAGAGCAGCTGAATTATGCTTGGTAGGTTAATTCATTCCTGTGCTGCATCTTATGGGTTCAGACATCTGATGAAACAAAAAGATTACTTCATTACAGCACCTGGACAAGATAGGAAGAAAGAAATTTAAACTACTCAAGTCTAATACAATGGGTCCTGTAATGTGAGGGCTGTAGTTCAGCTGAGCACTACACAGCCCCTGGTGGGATGGGAAGAGAATATGAAGACTGAAAGTGAGAAAGCCTCATGGGTTAAGATAAAAAGTTTATTTATTCAAAATAAGTAATACTATATTTTACAAATTTAAGGAAAAGAGGGGAAAAAAGTCATAGGAGAAACTAAACCCCAAGACACAAGTGTTGCAAGTAACAGTTGCTTACCGCTAATCAATGATGCTCAGCCTGTCCCTGAGCAGTTGGACCCCCTGCCAACCTCCCCCCCAGTTTTATTTCTGTGTATGAAGTCATATGGCACGCAATATCAGCTGTCCCAACTTTTTGTGCACCTCCAACCTACTCTCTGCCAGGTCAGTCTAAGGTGCAGAAAACACCTGATGCTGGGTAAGCACTGCTCAGCAGTAACTAAAATGCAGGTGTTACCAGCACTGTTTTCGCCACAAATGCAGATCACAGCCCTGTTGTAGCTACTATGAAGAAAATTCACTCTATCCTGGTTAAAACCAGCACACACAAATAAGGCTCTGCACCTATACTATCTTTAAACGCTGGCCGCCTGTGTGCCCCAACCCAAATCAGGTGCTTTAGCAGGTACGTTATTATCATACTAATGAGATATTTGAAACAGTCAAACACAAAAATGGAAAAATTTGATTTCCTCTTCAGCCCTGCATATCTTTTTTCTTTCATGCACATTATAGACCGATCCTCCACAGGGTGTCCTATTTGCCAATGAGAGTAACGTAAGTGTGTTACATAATCTTTTGGAAGCAGTGATGTGTATTTTCTTGCTCTCATGAGATCCCACTGGCATACTGTGTTCAGCTCTGGGGCTCCCAATTTAAGAAGGACATGGACCTGCCCAAGTGAGTCCAGAGGAAGCCACAAAGATGCTGCAAGAGCTGGAGCACCTCTCTTGCGAAGACAGGCTGACAGAGCTGGGCTTGTTCAGCCTGGAGAAGAGAAAGCTCCAGAGAGACCTTAGAGCAGCTCCCAGTGCCTAAAAGGGGTCTACAAGAAATCTGGAGAGGGACTTTTGACAAGGGCCTGGACAAGAGGAATGGCTTTAACCTGCCAAAGGGGAGATTTAGATTAGACACTAGGCAGAGGTTTTTCCCTGTGAGGGTGCTGAGGCGCTGGCACAGGGTGCCCAGAGAAGCTGTGGCTGCCCCATCCCTGGCAGTGTTCAAGGCCAGGATGGATGGGGCTTGGAGCAACCTGTCCAGTGGAAGGTGTCCCTGCCCATGGCAGGGGGTTGGAACTGGATGAGCTTTAAGGTCCCCTCAACCCAAACCATTCTGTGATTCTATGATTTATTTCTTTAACAGAGTATGGAAACATTGTAAATAGAGGTGAATGGAAGAACCCTTAATACCCGACTACTGTTGTGAGGCCAGAGTTATGTATGTGTACATATGCTGACAAGCCAGCTATCTCAGCAACATCTTATACTGCAGGAATAGGGCTTTAAAAATACTTCAGAGATTTGTGCTCCGTAGCTGTCACCTTCAAGAGAAGCATGATGCAGTGATCTTTAAAACTTTCTGTATACAACGATAAAAATAGCATTACTTGTGTAAGCCTTAATGGCGTTGTGAAGTACCTGTTTCAAGGACAAGAAACCAAAATTAAAGTTATTTTATTATTTTATGTCATTTCAGAGGCTTAAGAAATTAGAAATTTTTTATTTGCAGAATCACACAGTTCATAGCAGCCCGTGGTTTTATGCTGGAAAAAATTGGTTTCCTTTCACAACAATTTACTTCTCAGCTAAAGCAGCATTTTCCTTTTCCAAATTCTCCTGCAGCTCAATACCGCTGCACTGCCCTCTTGGTTCCTGCAATAGCACAGCTCCCCAGTGCAACTTACAGAAATGGATTGTAAAATAGAGTTCAGATTTCACAGAAATTTAGCATCTAAAAAAATAGTTCCTCCAGGAATTTAATGTAGGAATTTCCCCATGAAATTCATGCTGAAATCTCAGTTATTTTAATTACTAAATTGATGATTCCTTCTACACCAAGACTATACACCACCTTAACAATACCAGCCAATCATCCCCTGGTAACATTTGGGGAATGGCAGTGTAAGACAGTACAAAACTACAGAATTCCAAGCTACTGGACTCCCAAAAGCCCAAGAGCAAGAAGCACTAATGAAAAAGCCTGGCAGCTGTATTCACAATCCAGTTTCTATACATTTTTTTTAGGCCACGGTCACAGTCTGATGGAATTCAGTTAAGATTCCAGCTGTGTGATTACAGAATGAGTCAAGTACTTGCAGAACTAGTTACTGAATTTGTTGAGGCTTTCCACAGTAAGGCCTGTGGGAAGAAAATAGAAACCACATGGAGAACAATGCAAGCAGCCCTAAAAGGTTACCTACCTGGATTGCTTCTACTCCCACACATTAAAAGATCACAGAGAGAACTGGAAAAGGATGCAACTAGAAAGGAGTTCTCCATATTGATCTCTCTTGAAACAGTCCTTTATCAACTGAGGTTGAAAAAAAATTAGCTGAGCTCCACAGCACAGCCCATCTTCATGGTCCCCCTAGACCTATAGAGTTTTATATAAGTTTGGTGTGAAGTCACCAATGTTGTGAACAAAAGCATGATGAAAAGTCTCCTATTTTGCTTTGTAGATTTATCCATGTAATAATTAAACAAATAGGCAGACATTTGTGAATAGAATTCCTGTTCTGAATGCCACTTGTATAAATTCATCAAGGACTGATTACTTTCAGAACAATACACATGATTCTGGGAAAATTAAATAGTAATTATGCAACTCAGCACTTTCCAATCTTGCTTATAGTGTAAACACTGAATTGACTTAACTCAGTCACTTTATTTAAACTGAGGCAATTTGTGCATGGACAAGGTAGGTAGGTGAGTATGTAGAAAGTCAGCGCAATCATCTAATATGAAGCATATCTTAATTTTTGTCCACTGCAGGCTATTGGATTTCATTAACTACTATTTTTAAGTCTCAATCCTATTTCCTATACTATGTCATACAAAAAACACCTCCCACTTTTTTTCTCTTCAGTTTTCAAATACCTGTAGCATCTATTTATTTTACACAGAGTTTTACCAAAAGACAAGAATTTGTAGGAAAAGAGATTTGCATAGATTTTCTTTTCAGGAAAAAAAGCAAATTCTTTTGAAAAGACTGAAAATAACCTCTGGCTGCATCACACACTTCAATAAATCATTAACTCAGCAGGTGGCAGCACAAAGTTATTTACAATGTCAGTAATTCTGTGTTGTATTAAGTCATTTGTTATTAAATTTGTAATAAAACTCCTATTATTAGATAATTATACCAGATGGAAGAGTTAGTGAAAAAAAATCAGGCTG